TGTTATGTGTTTGCAGCCGGATTTGAACTCAGGTCCTCCTGACTTCAGGGCCACCTAGCTGCCCCTCAAGTAAATATTCTTGATAAGTATAGTTAACTAGTTAATTGTTATAATTTATACCCATTGTTGCTAGCAAGGAGGAAATAGCTCTGGTTCAGATCTTGTCAGGGAGGGCTGGAGCAGAAGTCCCTGAACGCTGTCAGTCTATTTTGTCAATCAAGTTGATGCTTGGGTTCCTGCTGGGGTGGGGGGATGCAGTTCTACAGGAGCTACAATTTCAAATGAAATTGGCCACATACCTACCTTGGAATGAGGATCCAGCAAGAGTGCTAGACTAGTGTGACCCCATCTAGAGATCTGTGTTCTAGTCTCTTGTTTGCACTGTGATCTTGGGCAAGTCACTTCATTTTTCCTTATTTATAAAATGAGGGAGATTTTTATTTGGACTGTATGATCTACAAGGGATTCCTTCAAGTTCTGATAGTTTGTGATTAAATCTAGGATTAACCCAACTTTTCCCTAGGTAGTATTTGATCCAACAATCCACTACTAAGCCTATACCCCAGTGGAATCAATGAAGAGGAAAAAAGACCTATATGTATGTAACAGGGCCTTGGAGCATGCCCAGATCACTTAACATGGAGGCACCTTGCATCCTGTGTTCTCCTACCATGTGGGAGGGAGTAGCCTCCTTCAATTAGGCAGCTGGAACAGGCAGTGTCTTTAAAACTGGCAGACTGACAGTCTCAACTTTCTCCTGTGCCCCACATGCCTTTTCTTGTTGGGTCCAGCAGATGAAGATCATACACAGTTTGTACAAAGTTTAGCCATAGTTTGAGTGCCATGAACTACTCTGCCTTCCTTCTCCTTTTTCCCTTGGATCTTAGAAATGGGCCTGGGTCTTTGTTCATTATGTTTCATTTGTCTTTCTCGGTTTTAGGTGTTAATAGTAATCTCTGTCCTACTGAGGGCTGGAGCCACGGTGGCAGTGGAGCCAGGATTCTGGGTGGGATATCATAGCCAGTCAGCTAGCTCTGCAGGGAAGCCCTGAGAAGACAGGGTGCCTGGGACTCAAGCCAAGGTGGGTTTTGGACTTAGAACTTAGAACTATCCTTTGCAGGAACTGATCTAAGCTATGAACCTAATCTTCTTCCCCCTCCCCAGAGACTGAGGGGGCATAAGAGGGTAGGGATTAAGCACTATATGTTGAGGGTATAAGTTTGTATATTTGTGATTACGACTTTGAAATAAATATTTCTTTGTAAAAGTTAATCTGACTTTTATTGTCTAAATGGAACTGGGGTGCAGAGTACCCATCCCATACAATTTGGGGAACACCATCGGCTGCCCCCCTCATGGAGTCAGTGGCAGAAAACCTAGATGTCCTCAAACCCTCTTATGAGAACCAGAGAAACTTAGGGGAGGGGTGAGATGTAACATACCTGGCTTTCAGACAGTGGGACCAAGGTGGATAGTATTACGTGTACAAAAAATTTATAGTAGTCCTTTTAAAAAATTCATTTTTATTTTCTGTTCTGAATTCTCTCACTCCTTTCTTCTCCCACAATAACTAAGAAGGCAAGAAAAAAGTTCATTATAAATATGTATCATCACGGAAAACAAATTTCTGCGTTAGTTATGTTGCTCCCCCCAAAAAAAACAAAGAAAAAGAGGAAAAAAGAAAATATGCTTCATTCTGCTAAGTCCACTAACTCTCTATATGGAGGTGGATAGCATGTTTCATCATGAGTCCTTTGGAATAGCAGCTGGTCATTGTGTTGGCCAGAGATCTCTAGTTTTTCAAAACTAATTATCTTTACAATATTGTTGTTATTGTACAAATTGTTCTCCTTGTTCTATAGTCGTTCTTTTTCTTGTAGCAAAGAACTTGTCTATCAATTGAAGACCAATTATGGTATATAAATATAAAGGAATATTATTGCATCACACTAAATGATGAATGTGTCTGTTTTGGAGAAATCTGGGATGACTTGTATAAGATGATACAGAATAAAGTGAGCAGAACCAGGAGAAAAGTCAGTATAGTAACAACAACATTGTAAGTAAAAACAACTTGGAAAGACTTAAGAACTCTGATAAGGCAAAGATCAAATAGGACTTCAGCGAACTGATGATGGATGAAGCATTCTACTCACCTCCTGACAGAGAGGTGATAGACATAAATTTTTGGACGTGGAAATGTGAGAATTTGTTTTGTTTGACGATGCTTATTTGTTGCAAGAACTGTGTTTTCCCCTTGTTATTTGGGGGATCATTTGGGTGAGGGGGAGGGATAAGGAGGAGCTAGTGGCAGTGTTGCCAAAAAAGAAGAAAAGAAATAAATCACTGAATCATTGAAGCATTTTTAAAAATGCACAGAACAGAGAAGCAAGCTGTATATAATACAGATTCTTGTTTCTCAAATATTTCTCTTTCTCTGTTCTGCTTTGTATATGGAATTGTTCTTTTTTGGTTTTGATGTTCATTAATTAATAAAAAATATCTAAAGATCAACCTTCCAAAAGTGGTCCATTTTGGTTGTGACTGTTAGCTTCCTTTTAATCTTCCCTTGCCTTTTCTTGTCACCCCCTCTATTCCTGTTGAATTTAATTTGGTACTTCTACATCAAAATCTCTAAGGGTAATTGTGAGTGAGTGTGTGTGTGTGTGTGTGTGTGTGTGTGTGTGTGTGTGCACGTTCAATCTTCCTTTATCCAGTGCAGATAAGAATAAGGTTATGTGATTTTAAGTCCCCAAAGAGGGATGGAGAACTCTTCTCATAGATCCCTTCTTTGGGAAATAATAAATTTCCATTATTTTTCATTTCTTCTATAGTATATCTTTTTTCCTCCCTTTTGCTTCCTCTCCTAAAACCAAGAACATAGGACAAAATCACATCTGGGCCCTATGTTTGTTTTATTTAAGTATATTTGTGACTATTAATGTCATCATAATTCTCAAGGTATAGTTATCTCTTCTCTACTATTAGAATGTAAATACTTAATCATTAGTGTGTATCAGTGTATATTCTCCCACCTTGTCTCCAGCTACCACCATTTTCTGTTTTTGTCATAGTTACCAATCTGGTGGCTCTGAGGTAGATCCTCAGAGTTATTTTAATTTGTATTTCTCTTCTTATTAGTGATTTGGGGCATTTTTTATATGGGTATTGATAGCTTGCTTTTCTTCTTTTAAGATCTGCTGATATTCTTCAGGCATTTGTCTATTGGGAAGTAGCTTCTATTTATATATATTAGAATCACTTCTCTTTATATCTTGGATATCAGACTTTTTTGTGTTTGTTTGTTTTTGCTAGGCAATGGGGTTAAGTGACTTGCCCAGGGTCACACAGTTAGTAAGTGTTAAGTGTCTGGTCTGAGATCTGATTTGAACTCGGGTCCTCCTGACTCTAGGGCCAGTGCTCTATCCACTGTGCCACCTAGCTGCCTCCAGGATATCAGACTTTAACAGAGAAAATTGTCACAAAAATTGTTCCCAGGTAAACTATTTCTCTTCTAATTTTATGAACTTTATTTCCCACTTTTCCCCCCATTTTATTTCCTACTTTATTACTCTTGATATTTTTGATCCTCTAGTTGAAGTTTGTTGCTCTTTTTTATTTCTATAAATTAACTCTTTGTTAGTTTGATTGGTATGGCACTGAATACATTAATTTTGTTTGTGCAGAAACTTTTCAGTTTCATATAATCAAAACAGTCCATTTTATTGCTTATGATCCTGTCAGTTTCTTCTTTGGTTAAGAACTCTTCTCAAGCACATAGCTGCTCCTTTAGTTTGTTTATGTAGTTACCTTTTACACCTGGATCATGTAACCATTTAGTGCTTATTGTGTATGGTATATAGTGTAAGATGTTCTAAGCTGAATTTCTGCCAGACTGCTTTCCAACTTTCCAACAGTTTTTGTGGAATGCTTTCCCAATAGTTGGGTACTTTGGATTATGCTACTGTGTTCATTTGCTTCTCGGTCTTTTGTTTCTAATCTGGCTCTTTGATTATTATTATTTTTTCTATTTTTAAACAGTACTGTTGACTAGTGAAAATTGGTTTGACTAGTATGGCTCCAGTCCCCCACTTCACCCTCTTGCTGGAATGGTACCATTAAGGTTAAGTTTCTTGCTTCCCTGTTTTCATTCCTAGTTCCCTGTTCCCTATCCTTCCCTCTTTTTGGGGTAATTTAGAAAATGCTTTTATTTTATTGGTCCTATAGATAAGAGAATAATTTCTTATTGGTATCATATTGGCTCTTTGTCTTAAATGAAATATAAATTTGAGTCCAGAGGGTCTCTAGGCCTTCAACCAGAGTAGACATTTGCCCCGCCCCCTCCCCTCCCACCGCTGCCCATGTGCTGACACATTGAGACTGTCCTTATTAGCAGATGTTTTCCTCCTTCCTTTGTGGGTAGCAATAATATTTGTTAAAACTAACTCTGTGTGGAACAACACTTTTCATCTGGACTCCCCTGCATGACAAGTAGCAAATAACTTTATTGATTACTTCTCTGTACTATAGTTTGAAATCTGGTACTGCTAAGCAACTTTCTTTTCCACTTTTTAAAATGATTACTTTTGACATTCTTGACCTTTACAATTGAGAGCAGTTGGGAAAAGCTTCCTGTAAAAGATGGCTTTCCTAAATCTAGCTCTGCTACTAACTCCATGTGTGACCTTGAGCAAGTCACAGCTCTTCAGGTCTCAGTTTCCTCATCTGTAAAAGCTGGAATATCTAAGGGCCTTTCTAGGTCTGGATAGACTATAAAACATTTATGAAATGCTTCTTCTTTTGGGTTCCAGATCTTTGATTCCCCTCCCTGGGCATTCAGATCCTCCCCCACTCCCCATCCCACAACCCAGAAAAGACCAAGAAAAATAGCCCCTACTTTCTGACATCCCAATAAAATATTTATTATTTCAAGAAATAAATCCTTTACAAAGAGAGGAAGGCAGGAAGGGAGAAAGGAAGGAAAGGAAGAGAGAGCTGAAGACAGGAGAGAGGAAAGGAAGAAAAAGAAAGAGAAAAAAAAGTTTCTCTATTGCTCCCCCCACCCCCACCCCCAGAATCAGGAATCAGGCCCTTGCTGTCATTTCTGGCCCCAAAGACTTTCTAACTGGTCCTCTGTTTCCTGCTTTTGAGCAGGCTGGGACCCACTCAGTCAGAATGGGGGTGCCTTCTTTGTCAGGGAACCTAAAACCAGATCCTGGAATGCTGCCCTACCCTTCAGTAGTATTTTCCCCCACCCTAATTTTTAAGGGAAGGGGTAAAGGGGTGGTGGTGCTTGGGGTTGCATTCCAGGACAGCAGGCAGCCCTCAGAGGGGTGGATAGTCAGTAAGGGGAGGAGAGGTGTGGCAGTGTACCTGGGTACCCAGATCTTTCCAAGCCAGGAAGGCTCTGGGCCTGGCTAGTCTATTTGTAAGGTCAAAGAAATGAGAGTGAAAGGGAGAGTTAGGACAGGGGGTCCCCAGGGATTGGGGCTGAGGACATGCTGCATAGGAGTGGATTAATCTTAAGAGCTGACCAGAGGCTTGGGAATTCCCAAGGCAGGAGGGACAGTTTCTGTTAGGGCAGGGGGATTGCCCCTTTGGAGTGGGAAGGTAAATTTATCCAGGGTCTATAATAATAGTAATAATAATAACAACAACAATATTAACTAATTAGTCATGTGGTACTTTAAAGTTTGCAATGTGCTTGTGCAGCCAGCTCCGGATGCCCATATTCAACCTCTCTGTAGGCAAGCACCCAGAAGGGAGCTCTGAACTTTACCCTCAGGGTAAGGCTTTTTTTTTTTTTTAAGAGGGCCATGGAGTAGTTTCAGGAAAACTGCATTTCTTTTAAATGAAGATAAGGGGCAGAGGGAAGGAAGCTACAGTGGCCTGAGCCTTCAGAAATTTTGCCAACAGAATGACTTGGAAATCCTAGGGATTTGCCTGGAAGGCTTGGGGAGAGTTATCCCATCCTTTTTACCCCCTCCTGGCACCTTCATAACAGGGTCACTGACTTTGCACCATGGGCCTAGGCTGTTTTATTTCTGATTTAGAACTAAACTTACTGCCTCTGGGTCTGGGAAAATAAATAGAATTCAAGCCCAGGCCCAAAAGAGGGAATTTGGAATTACAGGGTGGAAAGATCAGCTCCCAAGGCCTGAGTAACAGTCCTCACACCCCCAATGCTGGCCCCTGCTACTTGAAGGTGGGTTATGCTGGGGCCCTGAGAGCTGTTCAGCTACTTTGGCTGTTAAATGAAGAGCCATGAAGAAGGAAGGCAAGAGATCAGAGGCAGCACCAAAGACTACCAGGCCCCCCCTCATCTAACTCTCCCACCCTGACCATGCCTTGCAGAGGACCAGGGCCCAGAATGATCATGCAAATCCCATAAATAAAGGAGGTTGCCCAAAGGCAACCACCATTAAGGTTCAATTTCCTCATGTGTCTCATGCATTGAGGTCAGGGAGGGTGACATAGCCCTTTCCCTTGACCTCTCTGTAGGGACCTTCAAACTAGCCTCTTTCCTTGCGCTCTGTTCCCACTCATTTATACATTAATGGCTCTTGCCCTGGGCCCAAGATGTCTAAAATTTTCCCTCTCTTGGTCTACATCTGGTTTAGCAGGCCATAGAAGATGAAGCTTATGGGGGCCCCTAGATTCAGGCTGCTTTTTCTTAGGGGCCTTCTAACCCATCTCTCCTCTTCTTAGCTAAATCCCCTGGTGTCTAGGCCTTTCAGTGGTCAGAATCACGAGCCTAGAGCTGAGACTGATGGTATAAGACTAGTCCTTTTCCCCTTCCCTTCAGGGAGGCTTGTTGCTCCACTATTACCATGTTTCCTGCCTTGGAGAAGGACCCATTTCCACCACTAGGAATGTCCCAGCCTGGAGTCAGGGAGGGTGGGCCATGGAGAACCAAAACTACAGGTGCTTTCTCCTGGTAATGAGGCAGGGTAGCCAGCAGTTCTCAACAGTTCTCAGTGAAGGTGCGAGATAGGGGATGGAGATGAAGAGAAGGGTATAGATAGAGGAAGGTTGGTACAAAGGAAGCTATCAGCAGCCCCCACCGCCGGCTCAACCCGAAGACATCACAAGCAGTCCCGGCAGAGGGCCACTTGTCCCTTCTGGAAGTCTCGGCATGGGCAGAGCCGGCGGTATTTGGTGTTGGAGCCAGCACAGCTATAGAGTATCGGCTCTTTCTGCAGGTAGCACTCTTGACCTAGCTGGGCAAAGGCCGGGTACAGATGATTCATTTCTGACTCAGTTCGATCACAAGTGACATTCAACCTGTGGGGAGGGAGAGGAGCACACAGACACCTGGCCACCCAGCTTCCCCCAATTCTAGCAGGTTTAATGAAGTTGCCCTCCCACAGGCCACCAACTTGGCTCCCTATGAGCCCAGGGTTACCAACAGATTCCTTCCCCCTCCCCTCACTCTCCCTTCCTCCTTTACTTCCATCAGAGTGGCTCCTGGGGGAGTAGGATAGGATACAGATTGCTTATTCTACTCTTTTCCTTGTCCTCTCCTCTAGAAGAGATGTATGTAGGGAGGCATGACCTGGTCACTAACCAAACCTGATTTTACCATTTGGCTTCCCACCCAAGGCTGGTCAGGGGAATATGCTCTAAGAAAAGGTCTGAGTAGAAGTGAGGAGGGGGTTCTTTCCTTAGTGAATTAGAGGTGGCGCTATATCAAGCTATGGCCAGGGTAACCTTAGGCTTAGGCCAAATACAGGTGAGGTAGAGGATTATTCAGGGGTTGCAACTTTTTAGACGAGTTTCTCTGAAGTCCTCTGTGATTTAAAAAAGTTTTAAAAATATCCAGAAACCCTGGAAAGATGTGCTTTTAGCCTGAGTGCTAAGTGCTAGGAATGTGGAAACCAAGCATCCAGAATGTTTAGAACTTGGGTACCAGCCCTCTTGGGAAGTGTCAGAAGAGGCAGAAAAGCATCTTGGGTTAGGAATGTTGAAGCTTAGAGGCTTCCTGCACACCTTTGGGGAACAGAGATAGGCAAGGGAGGAAGGATGGCATGATGGAAAGAGCATGGATCAGGAGTCAAGACATAGGATTTTCAGATTTGGTTTTGCCACTTATCTATGTAACCTTAGACAAATCACTTCATCTCTCTGGGCCTCAGTTTCCTCAGCTCTAAAATGAGGGGATTACAATACTATAATTTTTGGGGGTTTCCCTTCTGTCTAGAGGTACTGGAATAAAGGAGGAATGCACAGACACTCACTTCAGGAAAGCATCCTGGGTGTTGAGGAAGTGGAAGAAGGAGGGCTCACATATGAGGCCTTTGTCCAAGCAGGTATCCGTGCAGGTCCTCCCAGTCTCTGACAGCCAGCCCTGAAGTGAGTGCACAGGAGGCCAGGCTTCCGAGCCCAGGCTGGCATTGTGGGGCCAAACCAGGTGTGTGGCATTGGGTGCCAGGGCAGTGGGGGCTCGAGCAGGTTGGGGTGGAACCACCAGTAGGGAGGGTTCTATGGTTGCACAGAAATCCTGCCAGGAGGAAATTAGAATTAGGAAAGGGAAATGGTTAGTGATGAAGTTATAGGGCAGAGCTGGGCAAAGATACCACCAAGAGTATTCCTTTCCTCTCCTCTTAGAGGGGAACAGCATAGTCAGAACTGGCCCTGAGCAGTATGATGTATAGAAACAACACTAAATTTGGAATCAAGGGGGTTGGGGTCAAATCCCTATTCTGCTTCCAGTTATGTGACTTCAAGTAGGTCACAATCTCTTTAGCCCTAGGCTTTTTCCTCTGTAAAACAAGACTAGAAACTTAAGTAGATGACCTTTAAGGGTTAATAACACCTACCTCAAGGGGTTGCTATAAGGATCAAATGAGATATTTGTTTAAACAAAAAAAGCATTTAGCATAGTGCCTGGCACTTAGCGGGTGCTACGTGAATGCCTCTTCCCTTCCCCCTTCCCCTTCTAAGGCTCCTTCTAGCTACAACAGTCTATGATCTTCTCTTTGCAGCTGAAGTCCCTAACTCAGTGTTCGGCACATATTACATGCTTAGTTAGTGCTTGGTAACTGATTGACTTGTCGGATGTTCTATCGTGCCTTCACCTTCTTACCTCTATGACCTTCTTTTCCTCCAGTTTCTTCTGTTCTCTCTCTTTTGTCTCCCTCTTCCTTTTTTCCATCTTCTTGGCTTGTTTTTTAAAGGTCTATTAATTGTGCTCCATCCCCTGCTCCTCTTACATCCTTGGGGCATCACTGAGCTCTGTCTGGGGACCTTGGGACTAAAGAGGATGCTGTACCCTCCTTTGACTTGCAACAACAATTTCTTTTTCTCCCTGAACTCCTTGCCTCCCTCATGTCCCTGTTTGTTTTTAATATTTAGATGTTTCCCTTGGTTTCTTTTTCAGAAAGGTAAAGAATCAGAGGTTGGGGGAAAGGAATGAGGGAAAGGAAAGCATACTTCCTATGGGATCTATGGGTCTCTGCTCTCTACCCTCACCTCAGAAAGGTACTTTTGTAAATCATGCACTGTCTACTCATGACTTGCTGAATGTTTATAGAAACATTCTGTCATTAATATACCTTGGACAAATGTGCTTGCCACTACGCTTGTCTTAGATTGTGAGGTCCCACAGAGCAGGAGATAGACGGACAGTTTTCTTTATCTACGAACTAGTACAGGTCTAGAAGCATTTAGGAGCTTGGTAAATTCTTTTTAATGATGATAATGGAAAGCTTGCAGGGGTGTGCTAGAGCCTGCTCAGACATGCTGTTAAATTTTCAGTGTGAGCATTTGCATCTCAGAAATCAGCAAATGCCACAAAAATAGGGTTTGATTTGTTGTTTTGTTGATTGTCTAGACTCTAGACTTTAAAAAATTATGGAGAAAAGTTAATAATGCAGATTAAATATAAAAAAGGTATTGTGAGCACATGTTTTTCCTTCTCAGAAAGGTGGTTGTTAAATGTTTATGAGTGTACACTGGTTGTATGGTATAATGGAAAGAATTCTGGATTGCGAGTCAGGAGACCCAGAGTATATGTAATCCTGACTCTGCCACTAAGTTTGGGCAAATTGCTTCCCCTTTCAGCACTTCAATTTCTTCATCTGAAGAAAGAGGCAATTGTACTAGATGATGCTGGATCTTAGGTTCATCTAGCTCTGAAATTACCTACATTTCCTCTTAACCTCCATCCCTATCCCTAGATTAGTTTGTCTTGTGAAGATTGGTTAGTCTAAAAAGAATCAGAAAACAGATGGCCTTCAAAGACTAAGAGGTTTCTCCACCATTTAATTTATATTTTGTTCCAATTTCCTCCCATGTGTGATGGGGATGGGTTGGTTGGGGAGGAGAAAGTGAAGAAGCAATTAATCAAACATTGTCCAGGAGAAGGCCTTAGTTGGGGAGGAGGAGACTGGGGACTGACCTGATGCTGAATGTAAGCATAGATCCTCTCAAGCATGCCCTCACAGGTGTATTCGTAGGGCAGATAGGGGTCTACCTGTAAGAAGAAATAGGTGGGGTGAAGAGAACAGGGAGGTCAGCCGCTGCCCCCAAACTGAGCTATTACCTCCAGACACCCAGGCCTCTGGGATTCTCTAGATCAATCTATTTGGGGGGAGAGGTTATTGCAGAGGAGAATATCCCAGGCCCTGAGAAGCTATAAGTAGTTTATTCCCCCTAGCACTTATCTCAGTTTAGCATTAATTGGACTGAACTTAAGGACTTTATCATAATGGAACAGGGATTAATACGAGCATGGAAGAGGTGATTAGCCAAGTGGGAGCCCAAGGAAAGCATCAATATGGGAATGGAGTTAAGGAAAAAGGAAACGAGTCTGTTTAACCACTGCAGACGACTCTCCTCCTACACACACACACAGAGGAATATATAGAATAGCAGATAGCGGGCTGTACTTGAAGACAGGAAGACCTGAATTCAAACCCCAACCTGCCAGCTTTGTGATCACAGGCAAATCATTTACCCTCTATAAACCTCAGTTTCTTCATTTGCAAAGTGAAAATAATGATCCTGGTACCTACTTCACAGGGTTTTTGTGGGGATCAATCAATCAATAAACATTTATTAAGCACATATTATGTGGATACTGTGTTATGTATGCACTGTGGATGTGAAGCAGTCTTTTCCCAAAACGAGCTTATATTCTAGTAGGAAAGAGAGAGGGGTTGGGGGTGGGAGGGAGAGAGAGAGAGAGAGAGAGAGAGAGAGAGAGAGAGAGAGAGAGAGAGAGAGAGAGTATAGTGTGTGTGTGTGTGTGTGTATATACACATAGAGAGAGTACATATAGAGTATAGATATATGTATATCTATGTATATACATATACATACATGCATGCACATATAGAATAAGTTTAAGAAACTGGATGTTCAACTTGAAGAAGATAAGGTTGTTGTTCAGTTGTTTTAGTCATGTCTGACTTTGTGACTCCATTTGAAATTTTCTTGGCAAAGATACTGGAGTGGTTTGTCATTTCCTTCTCCAGCTCATTTTGCAGGTGAGGAAACTGAGGCAGAGTCAAATGAATTGCCCAGGGCCACACAGCTAGTAGGTGTCTGCGGCCAAATTTGAACTCAGGCCTGACCCTCTGTCCACTGCATCACCTCCTGCCCAGGGGGACATGATAGCTACCTTCAAGTATTTGAAAAGCTGTCCTCTGGAATAGGGATTAGACTTAGTCTGCTTGGCCTCAGATAAAGAACTAAGAGCAAGGGGATGAAACTTACAGATTGTCAAATTTAGGTCTGATTGCAGGAAAAAAAATTCCTGGTAATTACTGTTTTCCAAAAGTAAAACGAAACACCTTAGGAAGTAGATAGTGGACTCTCCCTCACTGAAGGTATTTAAGCAAAGGCTGGATGACCACCTGTTGGGTATATCTAAGGGGTGGTTCCTTTTAAGGCATGAGTTGGACTAGATGACTGCTGAGGTTCCTTCCAATTCTGTGATTCTAATTAGTTGCTGAATGCTGTTGTCTCTACCACTAGGAAATCTCTCCAATCTGTCCCCATTTACCATTTATGTGGCCTCTAAAGTGAAAGCAAGTTACCATGGAAAGACCACTGGCTGTAGAGTCAGAGAACCTGGGTTCAAATCCTGCATTAATACTTTACCTGTGTGGGGCAGCAAGGTGATACAGTGCATAAAGTCCTGACTCCCTAAAGTCAGGAGGACCTGAGTTCAAATCCAGCCTCTGACACTTACTAGCTGCGGGACTGTGGGCAAGTTGCTTAACCCCAATTGCCTCAAAAAAAAAACCCTTTACCTGTGTGACCTTGGGCAAGTTATTTACCTTTCCTGGGCCTCCGTTTTCTCAATGAGAAAATGAAAAGGTTGGCTTAGATGACCTCTTAGGCGCCTTGCAGCTCTGGGTCTATAATCCTATTATTCCATCCTGGCTCAGGCCCTCAACACCTCATGTCTTAACTATGGCAATAGTTTACTAATAATTTCCTGATTTCACCTTCTTCACTCTTCAAATTGTCTTCCACACAATTGTTGCTTTACTATTCCTAAGTCACAGGTCTGGTCACATTATTCCTCTACTCAAAATTTTTTTTGACAGCTCTCTATAATCTCTAGAGTAAAAATACACACTTCTTAGTCTTACATTTAAATTCTTCCACAATCTGGTTCCTAGCTACCTTTATGGCCTTATTTCCCCACCTCATTTACACACTCTTTGTTACAACCAAACTACTAGCTGTCACCCAAACTTGACCTGCCTCCAAGCCTTCCCTCAAATCTAGAATGGATTTCCTCCTCACCTTTTCCTCTTAGAATCCCAAACTTACTTCAAGGCCTGGCTCAGCCCCTCTGCAGAGCCTTTCTCCATTAGCCAGTTATTAGAGTTCTTTTCCTGCAAATTATCTTGTATTTACTTCTCTGTTTACATGCCATATACTCTTAGTAGAAAGTCTGTTGCTTGAGAGCAAGGACTATTTCTTTTGGGCCTTGTATTCTCAGCACATAGCATGGTGCTTGGCACATAGTAAGTGATTAACCAATGTTGAATTGAACTATCTTTTCCAGATGTGACAATCAATGGTTTCCTGAGCCTGTAGAGTAATAATAATAACAACAACAACAATAATAGTAGTAGTTGTTCAGTTATGTCTGACTCTTCATGACCCCACGGACTATAGCTGTACATGGGAGTTTTCTTGGAATAGATATTGCAGTGGTTTGCCATTTTCTTCTCCAGTTGTTTAAAGCAAACAGAGTTTAAGTGACTTGCCCAGAGTCACACAGCTAGGAAGTGTCTGAGACTGGATTTGAACTCAGGTCTTCCTGACTCCAGGTCCAGTGTTCTATCCACTGAGGCCACCAGCTGCCTCTAAAAGTAGAAGTAATCACAGCTAATAACAGCTAGCATTTACATAATACTTACTATGTTCTAGGCACTGTGCTAAATGCTTTACAATGCTTTTAATCCTTACAGCAAGCCTGGGAGGTAAATGCTATTGTTATCCCTATTTTACAGTTGAGGAAACTTAAGCAACTTGCCCAAGGTCACATGGCTGGTGAGTATCTGGTACTGGATTTGAACTCAAGTCTTTTTGACTCTACAGCCAGTATTCCATCCACTGAACCATCTAGATCTAAGCTCAGTTCAAGAGATGTGCCTGGACATACCTATGTCGTTGTTCAGTTGTGTCTGAGTCTTCATGACCTTTTAGACATAGTTTTCTTGGCAAAGATACTGGAGTGGGTTGCCATGTCCTTCTCTAGTGTGCCCCCATTTTACAAATGAGGCACTGAGGCAAATAGGGGTTAAGTGACTTGCCCAGAGTCACACAGCTAATAAATATTTGAGCCTGGATTTGAACTCAGACCTTCCTAACTTCAGGTCAAGTGGTCCATCCACTGCGCCACCTAGCTGCCCCAGACATTCCTATGTCTGTGGTCTAATTATATTCCTTGCCCTCCACTTTAAGTGTCACCACTTTAGCTAGCCTTTCAGGGCATTTACCCTATGGGACCAAAGCATACTGGTCATGCCCTTTACGCTACCCTGCCATGCTCCACTCTTTCTTAAACTAGTGGTTCAAAGAGTCAGAAGCAGGGTGCTGTTGTCCCAGCAGGGACTCCAGCATTCTGAGTCCTTCCTGAAATCTGTTTCAGACAACCGTGTTCCTGAAGGCAGCATCTGCTACCATCTGGAAGCATCTTATGTACAAAGCTCCAGGCCTAAGTTATAAATAAACACACCAAGGGAACAGATTTTCTTCTAAAAATGTTGTTCTCTATGCTTGCTGACAGCAGAATTATTCCTCCTCAGTCGTTTGAAGCCCTTGTCAAACCTAAATTCAAAGTCTCAGCTGGCAGGCAAAGCTCCTGGCCAGATACTTCCTGCCATAAATATCCTGCCAGAGAAGTCAGCCAGACTAGAAATTACACCCATTAGGTCTAATTGCAGGTGAGCGCCATAATCAGTTTCAACAGACTGTTAGGTGTTGATCCTGCTTATGAATATTGGGCTCCAGATTTATAACAAGATAAGGAAAGACGGGCTTTGATCAAAGATGTATTTGGCCAGAAGAACATCATCTTCTTATCACCTTGAAAGGCCTTTCTGCCATTAGAAAAAAATGCCGAATTTGCTACTTCAGTCTGGAAATGTAAGTTATGCTGTTTCTTGAAGGCTGTTTTCACAAGGAGAAGTTAATGATAAAAATGGCATGAAAAATGCTTTTGTGTAAAGGATGAGATATATATTGTCAAAGAGTGTGGGATATTGCCCCTGTTTTGTATAAACATTTTGATATCCAATACTAATAGAAAAAGAACTTTGATGTATCCTGCTCAAAAAATGAGTATGAAGATACACAGCTTTCAGATGGGATTTTGGACAGTTTGGACAAGAAAATGATCTATGATATAGATCTGAAGATTCAGATCTCTTTGTTAACAATATGGAAATAATGCCTTGCTTGTATGGAAACAGTTTAATGTTATAAAGGGGCAAAGAAAGATCTCTTATTTATTCAAAACTAGAGAAATGTGATTGGAAAGAAACATAATTTCAAAGATACCAAAAAGATTGAGGACCTTCTTGGGAATTTCAAGGCAGAGGCATGAAGTGTATCCCTTTTAACTTGCATATATAAATTTTATGACTAATGAGGGTGAAACTAAAAAAGTGAGAAATCAGTCAGTCAATAAACATTTAAGCGCCTAATATATGCCACATACTGGCTGTTGCTAAGTGCTGGACCAAATAAAGATTCGGAGACTGATGTGTGATTGAAATAGGACTGTTAATTTGGTAAGAGAAATCTGGGGAATTGTGATTTCTTAAGTAAAAGGTGGGTTGCTAAGAATCAGGAGGCTTTCATTTAAACCACTGAACAGAACAAGAGGGAGATAGGCTAGAGAAGACAGCAGCAAAACCTAATAAGAGCTGAAGGCACAGGGTGGGGATGGAGAGAATGCTCCAACTGATTGATTCCTGATTGGTTGACAAGAATGAACATCATTGGCTCCAGTGAAAACAGCTGTTGCTCTTTGCTGCTCCATTTTGTCCTTCGTTCTTGAAGAGGACCACGACATCAGGGAGGCGATGCCGCAACATGCAAGTGAATTGGATTTAAGTGAGGGAGAGCTATGCAAAGTCACCAGCCTCACTTTCTCCTCTGAAGCCATCTGGGTCCAGTGGCAAGATACAGATCAGGACGACTTGAGATGGCCCAAGATGCAGTGGATGATCTTTGCCTTTTTAAGGCTAAGGACTTTCCCAGGTCTCAGTTTGTCTGCAGCAACGCCACTTCAATGATTAAGGATGGGTAAAAAATGAGGCAAAGAATGGCCTCTTTGACCTAGTAAAAAAAAAAAAAGTAAATCTGGGAGGGGATTATAACCATGTGGTAGTGGTCCATCTCTGTTACCCATTGACGTGAGAACATGTTGGAGTAGTAAGCCCAACCCAGAGAGAAGTGGGGATATTTCCCCAACCTAGGTAAGAAGTATGAGGTCCCAAGTTTTATACTGTAGGATGGTTTATACTCTGTTTTGCTTCTAGACCCCACCCAGCATATATGTTGTGTAAGCCTTAAAATAGATTACAGATTATTCACTTTCTGTCATTACATAAGTGAAAGGGTTAAGGTTGTTTTCTTTGGACTCTAGGATATTTATGTTGTGCCATCATCTTTCCCCACTCTGCCTTTGCTCCCAGAATTTCCCTGCAAGAGGAGAAAGGCACAAGGCTCAATGTCCTCAATGTCCATGCCCCAACTCCACAGTGTAAATGGGAATAAAGTCAGTAAAGGGAGATCTGAGACGGAAGGGTAAGGGACCAGAAGTCAGAGTTGTGCCCAGCCATCCATGAATAGTGGGCGAGGAGGAAAGAAGATGGGGTTGTGCTCCTTGACTTAGAATCTTGGCTCTGATTTTTGAAATTTTAGTTCTGGTGACACCTTTGGTTGAAGAAAATAATAGTAGCTTGCATTTTTATAGTATTTTAGAGATATAAGGTGCTTTGCATACATTATTTCATTGGTTAGGAGATATCATAGCTTAGCAGAAAAAATATGGGATTGAGAGAGGCAGCTAGGTGGTACAGTGGATACAGAGCAGGGCTGGGAATCAGGAAGACCTGAGTTCAAATCTTGCCCTTACTAGTTTTGTGACCCTGGGCAAGTCACTTAATCACTGTCAGCCTCAGTTTCCTCAACTATAAAAACTATAATAATAGTACCTACCTCACTGTGAGAATCAAATGTCCTATTTAAGTGCTTCTTCCCTTCCTGAACCCTGGTTCTTTTATTTACTAACTATGTTACCATGACCAGGCCATTTTACTTCCCTGGGCTTCAGTTTCTTCATCTGTAACATGAGGAAATTTGGTTTAGATGATCTTTAAGGTCCCTTATAGCTCTAGATGCTATGGATCTTCATATTAACCTTGGGAGGCATATTGGACAGATAATTATCCCTTAGTGAGGGAACTAAGGATTGAAGTTGAAAAGTGACAAAACAAACAAAATCCTTCCCTGGAAAGCAAAGCCACTTGACCTTTATGCATTCATGCTGATTAATCACTGGGTTTGCTAAGTGCTAATTCCTCACTTGGCTCTGGTCTTTGGAGGGAAGTCCCAAAGGCAAAGTACAGCAGAATAGTCAGTGTAGTGAGGAAAGAGAGCAAGAAGGAACCCTGCTGGCTAATTCTTCATTCTTAAGTATAAATATTAGGTAATTCATGTGCCACAGGGGACTGACAGTTTCTTTTGCTATTAACAATCTCTTTCTAGAAATTATTATTGGAGGTCCACTGATACTAACTCACTCCATCCAACTACCAGACAGAAATGACTCCTGATGGTTACTCCCATCGCTATATTAGGCAGTTACATCCTGCTGATAATGGGAAAGGTTTGCAGTGAGGAAGGATAGTTCAGTAGTGGCTCTACTAGGGTTTTTAGCATCTAGTGATTGATTGGTTATGTCATGAGCAATGTCACTGGTAGGACAAGGAGCTTAGTGGGAGATGTCTTTCCATTCCCCCCAAATCTAGCTTACCCAAATCTAGACAAGGAGCCCACTAGGGCCAATGTGGTGATAGCCATGGGCTAATTACCAAAAGAGTTGGCCAAGAGCTGAGGTTTATCCAAAATATGTGAGGATTTTATTCTGAGAATTATGTTGAAAGTATTTTAAATGGGAGCAGCTAGGTGGTACAGTGGATAGAGCAATGGCTCTGGAGTCAGGAGGACCTAAATTCAAATCCAGCTTCAGACACTAGCTGTGTGACCCTAGGCAAGTCACTTAATCCTGATTGTGTAAAAAAAAAAGTATTTTAAATGATTCTGCCTTTAGTAGAAGGAACTAGGTCCTAGGAAAAGTGAATGAGAAGGCTGAGAATGAGGTGAAGTAGAGAAGGAGGTTAGGAACTAGAGGAGTTCAGAAATGCCAATGTATCCCAACCAGAAGAACACTTGGGCTTAGCAGCTCAGGACAAAGCAGTAATTAGGGAAGGGCCTCTGGTGCTTTGCTTCTAGGTCCCAAGATCTGGTTGGAGGCTGTACCTACCTACTGTGTGTACCCTTAGGCAAGGTCACTTAATTTCCTTGAACCTTGTTTTCCTTATCAGTGAAATGAAGAGGTTGAACTTCCAGTCCTATTTACCTATGATCCTGCCCAGTCTCTATCCTCTTTGTCCCACTGAAAGCCTCTTCTTCTGTTAACAAAATTCCTTTCATCCTAGAATTCCTCCTGTCACTTTCCTTTCAACTTGAGGCAGACATCTCTTTTTCCTGAAGGCACCACATCTCTTAGCATCTTCCCCAAGGCTAGCTGTTTCTGCCCTTTGTAGCTAAACTCCTCAAAAAGGCTGTCTATAGTAGGTGCTTTCACTTTTTCTCCTCTCTGTCTTTTCTTAACCCCTTTATTAGACTTCTGACCTCATCATTCCACCAAAACTCTCTCTCTAAAGTTACTAATGATCTCTTAGTTGCTAAATCCAATGGTCTTTTCTCAGTCCTCATTTTCCTTGACCTCTCTGCAACCTTTGACACTGTTGACCTCCCTCTTCCTTGACTCTCTTCTCTCTAGGTTTTTGGGCCACCACTTTCTCCTGGTTCTCCTCCTACCTATCTGACCACTCCTTTCCTGTGTCCTTTGCTGGATCCTTTTTCAGATCACTGCCTCTAACCATAGATGTCCTTCAGGGATCTATCCTGGGCCTTCTTTTCATTTTGTTTGTTTTTTGCTAGGCAATGGGGTTAAGTGACTTGCCCAGGGTCACACAGCTAGTAAGGCTGGATTTGAACTCAGGTCCTCCTGACTCTAAGGTTGGAGTTCTATCCACTGTGCCACCTAGCTGCCCCTATCCTGGGCCTTCTTTTCTTCTCCCTCTATTCTGGCTTTCATTACCATCTCTATGCTGATGATTCTCAAATCCACTTCTCCTCCAACCTCTCTGCCAACCTCCAGTCTCTCATCTCCAACTGCCTTTCAGACATCTCAAACTGGGTGTCCACTAGACATCTTAAGTCAATATCGTCCAAAGTGGAACTCATTATTTCCTCCCCTAAGTCATCTTTCTCACCTTCACTCCCACCTCTTCTGCCTACCTTCCCTATTACTGTAGAGGGCAAGACCATCAAACCAGTCCCTCAGGCTTACAACCTAGATGTCATCTTCCACTCCTCACTATCTCTCACTCCCCATATCCAAGCTGTTGCCAAGACCTGTTGATTTTACCTTTGTAACATCTCTCGAATACACCTCCTTCTTCCCTCTGACACTACCACCACTCTAGTGCAGGCGCTCTCACTTCATGACTTGATTATTACAGTAGCTTGCTGGTGGATCTGCCTGCCTTAAGTCCCTCCCCACTCCAATCCATCCTCCATTCAGCCACTAAAATGATTTTCCTAAAGTGCAGGCCCTTATCATGTTACCACGCCCCCCCAACTCAATAAACTTCATAACCTAGCCCCTCCTACCCTTCCAGTCTCTTTACACCTCACTCCCTGACATGTACTCTTTGAACCAGTGACACTGGCCCCATGAACAAGACATTCTTGGCTCTGGGAATTTTCTCTGACTATTCCCCGTGCCTGGAATGCTCTCCCTCCTCTATTCCCACTACTGATCTTCCTGACTTCTTTTGAATTCCCAACTAAAATCCCATCCTTTACTGGAAGCCCTTCCCAATCCCTCTTAATTCTAGCGCCTTCTCTCTGTTAATGATTTCCTATTTATCTTGCATATAGCTTGCTCTGTATCTATTCGTTTGCATGCCATCTCCCTCCGTTAGATTGTAACCTTCTTGAGGGCAGGGACTGTCTTTTGTCTCTTTTTGTATCCCTAGTGTTTAGCACAATCTCTGGCACATGGTAGGTGCTTAATAAATGTATATTGATTGATCCACCCCAACCCCATCCCTCTTTGAATACTCTGGCCCCCCACTTTCAGAAATCTCAACTTCTATGAGACTGTCTCCAACAGAAAATGATGGTAGTGAATGGAAGGGATGGCTAAAGTGAGATGGCTATGTAACTGATTCACAAGATAGAATAGACGCAGTCCAGGAGCTGACCTACTTTAGCAACTTGGGTTCTCTTGGTTTTGCCTTCTTCTCCTCACTCCTTCTCTATAGGGGAAAATGAGCTTACCACAACCTCTCACCTGAATCCTCATGATGGCCTTGATGGCAGCCTCAAACTCTTCTGAATTGTTGTAGTCAACTGTCCACACATGTGGCTTGCCAATGAAGTTCTCAGCATAGGGGTGTTGAGAAAACACCTGGCCAGGACACAAGGTGTCCTGAGCTGCTCTGTGTCCTGCTGAGGTAGCCCAGGTATAGAAAGCCAGACAGCCCTCCAACCCAAGTGTGCTGAAGGAATGCAGCCCCACACTCTCTGATCTTGTTCCATTTCTTCATATTTCCCAGGCTCCCTCCACTGTCCTTACCAATTGATTATGTTCTCATCCCACAGCTTTTGGGCTCTTTACTCATATGCCCTAGAATTACAGATTTTCTCTTTAACCTCACTTCCCATGCCCCAGTCTCTCTCCTTATCCTGGAGACCCAATGTAATAATTGTAAGAAAATGGTCATTAGAATCCCTAGATTTCAAGCTGTGAGTAGGATTCTGGTATCCAAGGTAGATTCAGTTGTTGGGGGGGGGGAGGTAGGAAGTAATTACCCCAGGCCTCTTCTACCACTGAAAGGAGACAGAGGAAGTGGAAAGGGGCAGAAAAGGTACATGGTAGTGGGAAAAGATACTCCATGGAAGGACTACAACTGTGATAGGATTATAAGGATACTGGGAAAAGACAGGCCAGTGGACAAAACCAACAGGCACAGGAAAACCAATTTAGAGGACTACCAGCACTCTTACAGACATCAATGTCCCTCTTCTAGTTATGACTCTTCTGGATCCTCCCCCCAGGGGCCAGGATTCTCCCATCACTTACCTCTCGAGAAGTGGGTTTTCCTCGAAAGAATTCATGGTTGAGGGAGCTATGAGGTGGACTGAAGCGGGACTGCAGGAAGATGCAGCCATTGGCAATAGCCTCTAGAGGAGCAGGGCCTTCATAGGGGAAGCCAAACCCTATGAAGAGCTAAGGGAACAGGTAGCAGGATTGTCAGGGCAGGAATTGATTAATAGGTCACACATGTCAGAGAAACAAGAGCAGGTGTGCAAGGTTTGGGAGGGAGCTCGGGAGAAAGTAGGAACCAGGAAAGGAATCCAACATTTTTCTCCCAGAGGCTATCAGATAGTTTTAAGAACCATTTATTTCTACACAGAAACTTGTTCATTCTTATATCAAGCTTGTGTCTCCCTGTGGCACAGATCTGTCCACCTAGAACCCCAGATTTCCTTGCCATAGTTCCCCAAAGGAACAAATGCTATCTCTGTATAGTCGAGGATGTCTAGAGATAGCAAACCAAAAGCAGTAGCCCATACAACTACCATTCCCTCAACCCAATAAGACTTTGTCCTCTCACACCCAGACTTTCTAAAGCACTTTGTTTTATGACTGTCTGATACAAGCACTGTATATGGAATTACAGTTAATATGTGTATGTCCTGGTTCCTGACTCTCCCTTCATAAAAAGAGAAGAACTAAAGGGAGCTTTTCACAACTTGACTCCACATGGGGAAGAATGGTGGCTTATAGAAACTTTGTATGTCCCCCCAGCCCCTAGCATTGGGTTTTCCACACAGTAGGAGCTTAACAAATGTTTCTTAAATTGAATTAAATGGAATCTATCTGGAAGCTAGAACCAGGAGCAGTTCTGTATGGAATCCTGTTGGTGAACAGCAAATGGAGCTGATACTATCTGCTAGGCTAGATTTGAACCAAACAGGGGATGAAATAATACTTTTCCATCACATAGTTTTTCTCTTCCCCCCTTAAAGCAGGAGTTCTTAACTTGGGGTCCATGGGCCTCTAAGGGTGGGGGGTGGTCTATGAATTAATAAAATTTTTTTTCATCACTATACCAATATAATCTGAAACTCTACCAATATAATTTTTGATAACTATACCAATCCAGTTGGAAACCAATATAGTTAGTTTCCTTTGTGGGTCTATGTATTTTATTTTATTCCTATATATTTATTTTATTCATTTATTTCATTAATTATTCTGAAAAGAGATCCATCGGCTTTACTAGACTGGCAAAAGGGTTCAAAGAAGGATAAGAATCTCTGCCTTAAAGAGTCTGGAGGCCAATCCTCTCCCACACTCCACTCTGTAACCTTCCTTTTCTTTCCTTTTCCTTCCCTTTTCTTTGTCACCTTCCCCTCCCTGTAGTCCCTGCTTTCCTGGATTCTGCCAAGCCCTAGGGACCATGACATGGAAGACATGGAAAGAGCTGCTAGCAAAGGCTGCTATTAAAAACATGGGCTGGATTTTAATTTTTACTTACAACTTCACTAATGTGAAAATATGTTTAATGGGTATGTAAATGGAAAGCCTATATCAGATTGTGTGCCGTCTTGGGGAGGGTGGGGGGGAGGAAGGGGGAGAAAAATTTTCAACTCAAAAGCATATGGAAGTGATTGTTGATAAATCAAAATAAATTAACAAAATTAAAAAAATGGGCTGGAATAACTTTCACCTCTGTTGCTCAGGTCCACCCACTGTCCCTAGCTCTGCCTTAGAAGTGACTCTGTGCCCCTCACCTTGGCTTTTCGCAACAGCTGTTGGAATTCCTGCTGTGGCAGAAGGCCGTGGTTCTTCACAAAGGCAGGGACCTCTGGTGGCCGCTGGGTCTCATAGTACACAGTGCCGTGGATCTCCATGTACTTGTTCAAGATGCCCAGAAACTTCTCCTTGCCCTGGGAGAGGAAGAGAAGGAATTGCCAATGCCAGAAAATGCAGAACCACCAGTAAGACGCTGTGGTATAACACTGGACTCGGAGTCAGGAATACATGGAATAAGGGAGGAACACTGAACTGAGAGTCAGGGGGCTTGGCCTTTAGTTCAGTCTCTGTCACTAGCTTGCATTGTGATTTTGGGCAACAGCTCCCTCATCTATCAAAATTACACAGTTGGATTAGGTTGACTTTCAACTCTATATTCCTATGACCCTTAGCTCTACTTTCTTTGTATTTACCTAGGGAAGTATTGCTGAGAAGGGAGAGAGACAGAGAAGGAAGAAAAGAAGTTAAGGAGAGATACTGGCCCTAAGCTTTTCATAGTACTGGGCCCAAAGTGAGGAGGGGAGGATGAGTTCATTCCATTAGCTGTGGCCTGGGAGAGTCCCAGGTGCAAGTGCTCACATCAGGGAAAGGCAATTGTCCCAAGCAAGAAGCCTTGGTATTTAGGAAGCCTTGACAAGAAAATGCTTTGTCAAGGATCTCTGGCTTATCAGTTATCTATCCATTTTCATTTCAGAAATTAGAGACCTAGAGTGGGCCATATAGGGAGGAGGGAATCTGTGCCCCCAAAATTGTCAAGATAATCTTCATGAGGCACAGGTTTGACCACATCACTCCCCTGCTAAAAATCTTCAGCAGCTCTCTATTGTTTTTAGGACAAAATACAGACAGGATCTTTAGTTTGACAATGAACACTTTCCATAATACGGTGCAAAGTTCCCTTTCCAGCGTTATGCCTTTCTATCCCCTCTCTTTGATCCTATGTTCCAGTCAAACTGGGCTACTAGCTGTTTCCTAGCTTTTCACCTCCCATTTCAGGGCATTTGTACAATTTGTCTCCCATGCCTGGAATGTACACCCTCCTCTTTTCTGTCTCTCAGAATCTTTCTAAATTTAAGGTTCAGCTCAGGTGCCACCTCCTTCTTGAAGCCTTCCTTGATCCCCTCTAAATCATTAATGCTTTTTCCTCAAATTACCTTGTGTTTATTCATCTGTAAAAGGAGGCAGTTAATTTTTATAACCTCCAAAGCCTCTTCCAGCTTCGAATCCTATGATCCTATGACTAACCAGTGTGGATAGATTTTTCTTATTCCTCCTGTTTCACTTATAAGCCGACTAGATGATGCCAGGGACAAAAACAAGGCAGCGGAACAGAGAGAAACTAACTGGCTCACACATTTGGATGGAACTGTGGCCCTGGTCTCATTAGCACTGCACTCCCTGCAAGGCAGAAAATCATTGAAAACTGCATTCTTCATTACTAGCCCCATTAAGCTACCACTGGACTGGAGCTGGACTTGTGCTTCCCTTCAGGTACATAATAACCTTCTCCCTCTCTTCTTCCACCCCTCCTCCCCCTCTTATCCTCCTCTCCCTACCTTAGCCATGGATCTGTCCCATGATTCAATTTACTTCTCTATCTCTCTTCCTGTGGAAAGAACTCTTGTTCTCCAATAGTTACAAAGACTGCAGCAACTACTCATGAGGTCATTTGCTAAACAACAGTGCTCCGGGCATTTAAAGCTGGAACTTTAAATGCCCCTTGACTTTCTAGACTTCATAATTTCATTCTCCCAGGGCAATGTCTTCATGGTGCGTTCTTGTAAGACTGGGATTGCTTGTTTTATTATCCTCTCTGCCTTCTTTTCAAGTTTCTAGTGCCCAGATCTTTCTCTCATTTAGAGAAGCAACCAGCAGATGTGAGAAGCACTCCCGGGTTTTCATTCCTTCCTCTTTCAAACTTCATGAGGGTCATTGAAGTTCTGTACCGAAGGTTAGGACCTTTTTGCTCTCTCCTTTAATACTCCCCTCTGTAAGCCTCTCCCCTTCACCACTATAACAGACTGGCCGCTTGGTACCACTTGCTGCATATAACCAATATAGCTTATTCCTTGGCACCCCTTTCACTCTCTGGGAGCAGTCCTCCCAACAGTGTGTCAAACTGGGTCCTGTTCCCTGTCTGTCCCTTCATAAAAAGAGAAGAACCAGAGGGATCATGGACAGACTTTCCTGTCCAGCCACTCTTATTGCCCTTTTGCTATTCTCACAAAACTACTCTCCACATCAGCTAAGCCCAATCAAAGTAGCTCAGACACCAAGTTTCACTGTTTAAGACCCAACAGAAAGGAGGAGAAAGAAAAATCAGAAGTTGGGGCACCCCACTTGTACCATACCTGAATCTGCAGCATCCCCAAGAAGTTGGCAGAAGAAAAAAAGAGGAGAGAGGAAATAAATTAGCATCTCATTCATCAATCCAAACTCTTAGAACAGTATTGATTTCCTGGGTTCATTGGAAGGGATTCACAGTACAGGGGCTGTGTTTTCTCCTCATCTGGGCTAACCGAGATAGTTGATATGTTTTTTTTTTAATGTGATTCCTAAGGATCCCCAGGGAAGGAGAATTTACAGCTTCCCCAAGTGGCCAGTTTAGTATCTCACCCCACAGCCAAGTTTCTTTCTAGTGTTTAACCTCAATTCTCTTGTCCTGTCCCTACGAGGCAGAGAAGAATAACTGGGTATATTCTTCTGTCAAATGAGCTTTAAGGACAGTAAGTGGAGCAGCACTCAAGGCCAGGTGCTTTTTAAATTGAAAGCAAAGATTTCTTCTGATGATCGTCTCAAATGTCTCCTGGTCTGGGAGTGAGGGCTGAGTTCTGGAGATGGATGGGCTGAATTCCCAACGTCCTTTTCAACCATAATGTTCTATGAACCTATGTTTATGTGGAAGCCCCTATTCTACCTCAGTGGGCATCTAGTGTAATCCACACCCTAAAGGGAATCTCTTCTACTCTATTGCATTCTCCATTGCTTTGCTTGGAGACCTCAAGTGAGCAGGTAACCCACTAACTCTCAACATTGAAACACTCTAATTGTTAAAGCATTTTTTTTCTTGATATACTTTTTTCTTGTCTGTTTGTGACTTCCAACTATTGCTCCTAGGTCTGGCCCCTGGGGCCAAGAAAAACAAGTGTAATCCTGTTTCCACATTCCAGGTCTTAGAATATTCCAAGACACATCCCTAAAAATCTTTAAATCTCCAAGCTAAGCATTTAGTTTTTCAACCAATCTTCCTGCAACATAATCTAGAGACACCCTTTCCCACCACCGATGCCCTCCTTTCAACACTCACCTTCTGAAATGTATTGCCTAGAATTGAATGCAATTCTCTTGAGGCAGTCTAATCAGGGAAAAATATCCATCTAATTGTACTGTGATCTAACTCATATCTCTCCATCTTGTTTGTCCACAGGAATATCATAAAGAATTTATCAAATACTTCACCAAAATCTTTTTCAACTATATCTATAACATTCCTACCAGGCCAGTAATCCAATAAAAAAAAGAAAAAAAAGAAATGATTAGTTTGGTATCACCTGTTCTTGATGAAGTTATGCTAATTCTTTGTAATCATCATTTCCTTTTCTAGATGTTCACTAAACATCATTAACTTATTCTTGGGCACACTATACATAACAAGCATTTTAATAAATCATTTTTCAATCAATGAATGGAAGAGTCAGTTTTAATAGCAGGGTTTTTACTGTCCTGAATCTCTCCCTCTCCCACAACCCAGAACGCATATTGTCCACAATGGACCTAGGACATAAGTGTTGAAGGGGATCTTTTAATGAAAACCTTCCCAATTCCCTGTGCCTTGAGTTCTAATCCATCTGTAAATGTTGGGAGTTTTGATGAACAGGGGGTAGTAGAAGAGGAGGAGTGCAGTCTTGGCTTCAGAAAAGCTTGCAAGGCCCAGCCCTGGCTCTCACCTTCCAGATGCTGGCTTCTTTGCCATATACCACAGCCATATTGCTAGCTTTGTTGTTCTTTATAAGCTGCTTCTCTGTTGAGTTGAGCTCCTCTGACACAAAGCCCATGAAGGAGTTGTCCGGTGTGTGAGCTACATGCCAGGAAATGCAGGAAGGATAGAAAGGAAGGAAGGGTCACCCACACATCCAGGGCCTCCTCCTGGGACTTTTCATTCCCCCCACATAGGGAGCTTGGTCATGCAGTGTTAGGGGTTGGGGGGGACAAGGAGGGAGCGGGCTTAGGGATGGAGTGGAAATAGAAGTCCATTGTACTCAGCTCCTGCTTCGGGAGTTCATTTTCATAGACTTTTAGAGTTGGAAGGAAATTTAAAGATTACCTGGTTCAGGCTGGTGGATAATTACCAACTCCTCCCTCTCCATACCACCACCTCCTTCCCTGTCCACATAATAACACATACCTGTAACTCTTTTAGCCAAAAGAAAATAGTTCTGTTACCTGGGTGCTGACAAATCTCAAATAAATTATTAGCCTTGGAGACATTTATGCTGAAACCAAGAGCGTTTCTGAGCTCAGGCTGTTCCCTCTCCATTCCATTCAACTCCCACCCCCAGACTTGAGTCTCCTCTATAGCCCTTACCTTTATTCAAAAGCCTCCTCTCCCCACAGCTCCTTCTCCTCCAATTCTGCTTCCTCTTGTCCTATATTTACATGTCTATATATGGAACCCTCATCTCTCTCCTTGAGCTCCAGACCTAAATCTCCAGCTGTCTGCTGGACAGCTCCACTTGAATGCCTTGTAGGCATCTCAAACTCAAGATGTTCAAAACAGAACTCGTTATATTTTCTGCCCAATCCACCCTTCCTCCAAACTTCCCCGGTCTATTGAGAGCACCCCTACCCTCCCAGTCATCCAGTTTCATCATCTTGGAGTTTCTTTGCTTCTTCCTTCTCCTTCCATTCCATATCCAAACAGTTGCCAAGGTTAGTTGATTCTATAATTATTCCTTCCACATCGAAGGGATTAGGGGTGTGCCACCCACTTACCCCTCCCACCTCCTGTGATCTGAAAAATCTGTGTAAAATTTTTTGGCCCCCCATACTAGAGAAGAAGTCTGAATTATTATGGTATTAAAAGATAAAATATGTTGATATTATACAATGCTATACATATATTTTATGCGTTTCTGAGTTTCTAAACTTTCTGTATCGTCTGCTGGCCTTCGTGTGTTATCTGCAGCTTCAGTAAAACTCCTCTCAAATTCCCATTTAATTCTTCATGTTGACCCTCGATATATTGAAACTGAGGTGAGGAAAGTCTTGATGTGGAAGGTACAACTGTACTTCCAAAGCAGCTCTTTGATCCACAGTTGTCTCTCTATACGACCTCTACTGGAGTTTAGTCCCTCATCACCTCTCTGATGGACCATGATAATAGTCTCCTAAATAGTCTCCCTGCTCCACTCTATCTTCACCCAGCTGGATTTTGATATTCCTAAAATGCAGATCTGACCATGTGTCACCACAGTCTTCAAAAATCTTCAGTGGTCATGTACTATCCCTAGAATAAAATATAGAACACTTGCCCCAGTATTTAGAGGCCTCTACAGCCTGGTAGCTTTCCAGTCCTATTTCAGGTTACTTCCCTTTGTACATCTCTCTGTCCTTTCTCCATTCCTGCCAAACTAGTCTAGCGGTTCTATTTTCATGACATTATCTCCTGCTTTGGTACCTGTGCACAGACTGTCCTCCACCTCTGAAATGCAGCCCCTCCTCATCTCTCCAGCTTAGAGTCTGATCCTCCTTAACATAGCCACAAAGCACAGCTCAGGTGTTACTTCCCAAACAAAGCCTTTTCTCCTTTCTGCAGGTGTTAGTGCTTTCTCCTCCTGAAATCATTTGCTTATAGGAGAATAGATTTAGAGCTGAAAGGGGCTCTGGAGGCCATCTAGTCCAGGGTCTTAATTTTATAAGTTAAGAATGGGGCAACTAGGTGGCACAGTGGATACAACACCAGCCCTGGAGTCAGGAGAACCTGAGTTTAAATTGGACCTCAGACACTTGCTAGCTATGTGACTCTGAGCAAGTAAGTCACAACCCTGATTTCCTCCAAAAAAAAAAAAGAGAAAGAAACTGAGGCTCATCAAAGTTAAATGACTTGCCCACACTCACCCAAACAATATGTATCAGAGGTAGGATTTGAACCCAGTTCTTGCAGGCATTTTCTTGTCTTTCTATAAAATGCTTTCCCCCAATAAAATGTAAGTTACTTGACGACAAAGACTGTTAAATTTTTTTGCCTTTGTATCACATGCACCGATTTTTGCACATAGTGGCCATTTAATAAATTTGTTTATTGAATTGAATATCTCATTCTCTTAAGGCTTAGATTTTTCCAACTTAGGGGAGAGGAAAGGAGGGGACACACACTTATTAAGAATAATAAGCCAGGCACTGTGATAACACTTTACAAATATTATCTTACTTGATCTTCACAACAATCCTGAGAAGTAAGTATTATTACTATTATTCCTGTTTTACAGATAAGGACACTGAGGCAGACAGGGGTCAAGTGACTTGCCCAGGGTAACACACAGCTAGTATCTGAGGTAGAATTTGAATTCAGGTTTTCTTGACTTCAAGCTCCTATCTACCATACCACCTAGCTGTCCAAGGGTAACTACTAACTAATCTGATAAACTTAAGGCACTAATATGCTGATCAGAATTGGTTGTAGAAGCAGGCTTACTGAGGGCTTTTCCTCTAGTTCTTTGGCCACGCAGCCAAAGAACACAACATCATCAGAACCTTCTGGAGACAATAAATACTTGTAATTCGAGATTTCTATTGTGCTGTATTAACTTGTATAAATTTAATCAAATAATTAAAATGTATTAATCAATAGAGATAAGGTTGGTAATAAGAATCACGCCATGGCCTAGTGAAAAGAGGACAGGCCTTGGAGTGAGGAAGACCTGCATTCAAGTCTCAATTCTGATACAAATTGGCCTTGTGATTCTGGGTAGATCATTTAAGTTTCCAGGATGCCAGACATTCATCTCTACACAGATGAATTCACAGGTGTCCTTGTTCCAACTTCACTTCTAGCTCATTGCTTCCACCGATTGTTATGGTAGGGACTCTAGTAATACTCTAACAGATCTGCCTGTACCTGCTCTCCTCACCTCAATACTTCGTACTGCCAACAGACTAAACTTGGCCTTCTTTCTCAGGTCAAAAATCTTCAGTGAGGGCAGCTAGGTGGTGCAGTGGATAGAGCACCAGCCTGGGAGTCAGGAGGACCCGAGTTCAAATATAACCTCAGACACATAACACTCACTAGCTGCGTGACTCTGGGCAAGTCACTTAAACCCAATTGCCTCACCAAAAAAAAAAAATCTTCAATGGATTCCTTTTCTTATCATGAGGGACAGCTCGGTGAGGCTGTAGATAGAGTTCAGGGCCTGGAGTCAGGAAGACTCTTCTTGAGTTCAAATCTGGCCCCAGACACTTAATAGCTGTGTGACTCTGGGAAAGTTACTTAACTCTGTTTGCCTCAGTTTCCTCATCTGTAAAATGATCTGGAGAAGGAAATCGAAAACCACCCCAGTATCTCTGCCAAGAAAACCCCAAATGGGGTCACAGAGAGTTGAACACCAGTGAAAAAACAACTGAACAAAAATTCTTATCAAGTAAAATGAAAACTTAATTGTCTGAGGGGGCAGCCAGATGGAACAGTGGTAGAGCACTGGCCCTGGAGTCAGTAGGATTTGAGTTCAAATTCGACCTCAGATACTTAATAGCTGTGTGACCCCTGGGCAAATTACTTAACCCTAATTGCCTCCAAAACAACTCAGTTACCTGACATTCAAATTCAAGGCCCTCTTCTACCTAGTATCACCCTAACTTTTTTAGCTTTAATTCTCATATAAAAGAATTTGTGTGGTGAATTTTCCAAGAAAAGCCTTAGGTCCAAATTCTGGTGCTACAACTTACTATCTATATGACTTTAGGCAAAAAACAAAAACAAAAAAAGACCCAATACCTCTCTGGGCCTCGGTTTCTTCATTTGTCCAATGAAAGGATTGGACTAGATGGCTGCTAAGGTCCTTTCTAGCTTTCAATCTGTGGTCTTATTCCCTTCCACACACTGTCCAGCCGAACCATACTTATCCTTGTACCTTTGTGCTCCCGTGATTTTCCTCACCTTATTTGCCATTCCTTTTGCTTGTTGTCCAACTACCAACCCACTTTTACAGGTGTCTGGGGTAGCATATTAGCTTCCTAACTGGTCTCTCTGCTTCTCCTCACCATGTATCTTTTACGTAGCTTACAAATACAGTTATCTCTTCCACATTGTGGGGGTTAGGAGCACAATGCATTCTACAATAAGGAAAATTCATGTAAAGATGTTTGGTCCTCCCTTTGTACCAGAGAAAGACTATGATTTTTTTCTTTTTCTTTTATGGGATGTTTATCGCACCTTACTGTAAAATTTGGGTTGATACATATATTTCATACATTTCTGAATTTCTAAACTTTTTCTGTGTCATTTGCTGGCCTTCATGTGTCATTTGTGGCACTCACAAAACTCCCCCCAAATTCCAATTTAATTTCTTATGCCGACCCATGATATATCAAAACCATGACAGGGAAACTTGTGATGTAGAAGGGACAGCTGTAATCTTTCTAAGGCACAGATCTGATCATGGCCACAGTCTGGCTGTCTTCTATGTTCTTGGCTGAATTTCATACTACCTCCTGTCACTAACTCTTATGTTTCAGCCAAATGAGACTCCTAAGCTTCCCTCAGCATTCAATCTCCCACCTCAGTGTATTTGTCCCACTTGTCCCCCAAGCCTAGAATGTGTTTCTTTTCTCTGCCTCTCAGAAACTTCTCTTCCTTCAAGCCTCAGCTTTTGCCACTTCTATAAAGCTTTGTCTGATTGCTGCCCGCCCCTCTCCACCCCCAGTTGTTAATTTATTGTTTCCTCACTTTTCTTAGTATTATATTTATATTGATTTGTATTTATGTTGTGTCTCCCCACAAGAATGTAAGTTCCTTGAGGGTAGGGATTATTGATTTTGTCTTTACCTCTCCAGCCCAGCGTATATTTTGGGTAAAAATGTGTTTGGAATTAGACTCAAATGACATTTTCCTATACCCTTTTAATCAGTAGTGACCTGAAATTTTTTTCTAATAGTTTGTCTTGTAACCCTTTAAATCACTTAAGCTTATAACATTGTGTATTACAAGTATTAGGTTGTAAGCTCTTTGACATCTTATCTAAACTGTGTATCTTTCCCAGAAGTATGGTATTATCTTCATACAGTAGATATATACTTAATAAAATTGTTGAATCAAGGGCAGCAGAATACAATGAGAACAAGGCCAACTTGCCCCATATGGCTTTCCCAGGCCATCTTCCTCTCCTTTCTTTCTTTACCACTTGTCAACTGAGACCAGGCCCACTCTATTTATGCCTGCTTAGAAGAGACATTAATCTGGCCTCAGACACTCATTAGCTGTGTGATTTTAGGCAAGTCACTTAACCTCTGTTTGCCTTAAGCCACTGGAGAAGGAAACGGCAAACTACTCCGATACCTTTGCCAAGAAACCTCCTGGACAGTATGGTCCTCAGGGTCACAAAGAGTCAGACATGACTGAATAATAACAATGAAGAGACATCTCTATGTCACACTCTGCAGTTGAGTGGCACAATGGACCTGGAGTCAGGAAGACCGGAATACAAATCTGGCTTCTGATACTTTCTAGCAGTGTGACCTTGGCCAAGTCACTTAACCTTTGTTTGTCTCATTTTCCTTATCTATAAAATGGGGATAGTGCTGGCACCTACCTCCCGGGGTTGTTGTGAGGTTTAGATGAGATGCACTTAGCACATAGTTATATAAATATTAGCTACTGTTGTTGTTTGTTGTTGTTGTTACCCCTTCCCTTCCCAGATTCCAGCAGGAGGGAATTTGTCTGGAGAGATTTGGAACTGGATAAGCCAGAGAGAGTGAGATGCAGAAGTACTACAGATAATTAAAAGGTTCCCTAGAGGCAAGGCCAAGAGGGTAAGATCTGGAAAAAAACATCAACTTCCCAGTTTCTTCCACTGGGAAAATAAATCAATAGTTATTAATTTGAAAGGGGCTAAGAGCTGCTTGGGAATTTCTTTTTAGACCTTGAGTCTCAGCATGACTTAGAAAGTGGACTGGGCTAGATTCGGAGTCAGAGAGTATGAATGAAAATCCTGGCTCTGTCATTTACCTGTTCAGTCATTTCAGTCATATCCAATTCTTCATGACCCATTTTTGGGTTTTCTCGGCAAAGATACTGGAGTGGTTTGCCATTTCCTTTTCTAGCTCATTTAACAGATGAGGAAACTGGGGCGAACAGAGTTAAATGACTTGCCCAGGGCGACATAGCTTGTAAGTGTCTGTATCAGATTTCAACTCTTGAGTCTTCCTGACTGGCACTCCATCCTCTGCACCGCCTAGCTAGCTGCCTATGACTTGGGGGAAAAATAGGAACCCCAATCACCTTGGGTGAAACTCATTTTTTTCAGCTGTAGAATGACAGGCCCTCTAAGGCCCCAGTGAGGATACAATATTCAAAGATTGAGAGCCAGAAGGAATCTCTGGAGTTCATAGGATCATAGATCCAGAGACACACAGGGCCTCCAATAGTTACTTCCCTAATGGGTGCTTTCTGTCTGTAGTATTCTGAAATCTGAAATATTGCAATGCTTCTCTAAGCGAGACTGCTGCCTCTACTAACTTCCCTGTCTACACCCTGAAAACCAGGATAATCTTAAACATGTTTTTTCTCTATTTTACTGCTCAAAAGCCTCAAATCTCTTGATTTGTTTGGTCAAATGCCAACTACTTAATTTTTAAGGTCCTCCACTGAGAGTCTTCTCTATACTTCACTCATATCCTCAGCCCTCTACCCTTATCTCACTAACTTCCTTCCTTATTAATCTCAGCGTTAGCCAAACTAAGCAGTTTGCCATCTCAAAGTAATTGGTTTTATATCTGTCCCCACCCCTTCACGAATAACCGCCATCCATCCTTTCTGCTTGAGTCTTTCTGCTTCTTTCTCCCGTCTAAAATCCTGCTCAGAATTCACTTCCTCTGAAGAAAACTTTCCTAACTTGCCCCCACCCTCACTTTCACCTCTTTACTTTTGAGTACTGAGGTTTTCATAATGTTAATTTTATACTTGTTTATATAATAGCCATTTATTTGGAGGTTTCTTGTCTGATAACCTTAGTTATCTAGATCCTGGCCAAGAACCCAGACATCTGAACAGACAAAATTGCAGTCTATAGTATATATACTTTATTTAGGCTCTCACTCTGAACTTATTTACTCTTAATTTACATGCAATTCTAACAACCTTGGTTATTTGGATTAAGGTAGGTATACTAGAAGTGCCAGGTAGGCAGTGTGATAATTGCTTGACTACTTCCTCCTATTAGAATGGAGGCTCCTTGAGGGCAGGGATGTCTTTATTTTTGACTTTGTATTGGGTGCATCAGAAGTAGTTTCTGACTATTTGGGAGGGATGGGGTGGAACAGATCTGTGATTTCATTGATCTAGGGAAGTCCCAGTGATGAATCTCCCAATGTCAGCACAGAACAGTTGCTTGGGGCATCAAGTGACTAGCCCAGGGTCGCGCAGCTGGTATATGTTAGAGACAAGACTTGAACCTGGGTCTTCTGAGGCCAGCTATCTGAAGAATACACTGAGGCTCACTTGAAACATAGTAGCTATTTAATAAAGGCTTGTCTAACTGGATTGAAATAATGTGCTTACATTGTCAGTAGAAATGACAACTGATAGCTCAATAACATGGAAGAAAAATCCAGAAATACTACTTGTTTTTCAGTCCTTTCAGGTTTGTCCAAATCTTCATGATCCCCCCCCTCTTTTTTTGGGGGGGGGAGTTTGCCATTTGCTTCTTTAGCTCATTTTACAGGTGAGGAAACTGAGGCAAACAGGGTTAAGTGACTTGCCCAGGGTCACACAGCTAGTATCTGAGGCTGGATTTGAATCCAAGTCTTCCTGACTCTAGGCTCCAACTCTATCCACTACATGACATAGCTGCCCTAGAAAAACTACTTAAAGAACTACAAAAACTTAGCTTACTGGGGCCATTTTATACAGAGGCAAATGGCCTACAGCACCTGGTAGTATCACTGCGGAGCCTGGATTCTAACTAGCAGAAGCTAGTGGGATGCACACAATGTGAAGTTAGTTAGATACAATTTTTCTATTTATAGTTCTAAATCCAAATCACCTCCTCTTTTTGAGCTTCATTTTCCTCATCTAAAATGGCATAAAATACTTGCCCTTTCTACCTTGCAGAACTGTTTCAAGGATGTTTTCCACTCATTAAAGTGCTAAAAAAAATCAGATATTATTACAGAATAATACAAAAACTAAAGTGGCAGCTAAGTGGCACAGTGGATAGAGCACCAGCCCTGGAGTCAGGAGGACCTGAGTTAAATCTGGCTTCAGACACTAGCTGTGTGACCTTGGGCAAGTCACTTAATCCCAATTGCCTCCAAAAAACCTGAACAAAACCCAAATGTTCATAATATTGCTTATGAATTATCAAAGAGTCAATATACTTTCTTTAGAAAGTTATCCAGAATTAGATAACTGAACAGGAGATAGGAGAGTTGGGATTTGAACTCAGGTTTTCCTGGCTCTGTAGCCAGCTCTCCATCCATTACACCACAGCCACATCACTCACTGCTCAATGCAAATAGCTAGGGCTAGATGTTGCACAGAAGGTGCAACCTAAAATGGTTATGACAGTTTTCCTCAACCCAGGAGTTCCAGTTATCAATGAATCCATAGGTCAAGCTCTTATTTCTATCCCTAGCCTCTGTTTAAGAAGACAACAGAATCAGAAAAACTGCTACCAAATAGGATTCTTCCAGCTTTGAGTTTGTTGGTGGTGGGTTTTTTTTGGAGGCAATTGGGGTTAAGCGACTTGCCCAAGCTAGTAAGTATTGAGGCTGAATTTGAACTCTGGTCCTCTTGACTTCAAGGCTGGTGGTCTATTCACTGTGCCACTTAGCTGCTCTTCCAGCTTTGAGTTTGGAAGAGGTTTTCTCCAATTATTTGGAAAATTATCTTCTATGGGATGGCTTATTCCCCAGAGATGGTGGATAAATGAGTTATTTCTGTTTGTTATTTCATAAGACAGTGTAGTATAATGGGGGGAGCTCTGTAATGAAGTCCAGACAAACCAATACTACTTCAGGTTTGACTAGTTACTGTGAGATATGGGGAAAGTGAATTTCTTTGGTCCTCAGTTTCCTCTTCTGTAAAATGAGGGACTTCAGCTAAATGATCTCTAAGGTCCCATCTCATTCTAAATCTTACGACCTTGGGCAAATCTCTTAACCTCTCTGGACATCTATTTTCTTCTCTATGAAATGAGAGGTTGGACTAAATGATCTCTAAGATTCCTTCCAGGTCCAAAATTCTTTGGTGTCTCCCAAGAAAAGCTTCCTCTCTTTACCCTCTACTTCTTAGACTCTGCAAGGGGTTTCTTCTGTGGCTATGTCTTCCCTTCTGAACTTCCCCCTCACCCTGTTACCTCTGCATTGATAAGGTGTAGCATTTCTCAGAGAAATATAGTAGGCACCAAGTAGGTGCTTAATAAATGCTTATTCCCTTTCCTTCCCCCTTCAGAGAGGGTGGAGGCCTGGGGGAGAACCACCTCAGTGCCACCCTCCTCCTTTCTCTCCTTTCTTTTCTGGGATAGAGAAGAGAGGTAAGATTCCAGGTGAACCACATAATAATACTCAGCACTCATGAGAAGGCCCTACCCCTCACCAGTCCCAAATGGAGGGCCACTCACGGAACATCGTCATGAACTGCTTTGGGTTGAAGTTCCAATAACCCCAGTTGGTTCGGTAACCATGCAGAGTGGCGTACTCCTCATGGTTGTATGCAGGTTCTGTGCCAAAGGTGTCAATGACCCGGAATCGACACCTGTCAGAAAAAGATAAGGGTCATGGGCCAATAATCTACCTACTTATGTGTAAGGAGCAGAACATATGGAGCCTCCATGTCATGGAAATCTTTCTAGGGACAAGGTGGTCTTTGCCTCTGGAGAAGTCCTGAGCTTCTTATGTCCTGAGGCTGTCCCCATCCTTCTTGGTGCGTATTCTCTCAGGTATGAAAGAAAATTCAGGGAAATCAGAAAACCTCATCTTTGGAGAAGCAAAAGATAGAACAGTTCCAGAAGCTACTCTCAACTCTGCTGCTTCTCTTCTAGACAAGAGCTTATCTAACTCTGTTAGCTTTCTACCACCTTCCTCTCTGTCTGACTGCCCAGTCACATGTGCCTTGCCTGGATAGCTCAGAGAGACCTTCTCTATGAAGGATCCCAACATTCAGAGTAAGGGGTCTGGTGTAGCCCCAAATACCACACAACTACATCCAGACACAGGCACACAATGATAGTTCCCTCCTTTCCCTAACCCGAGTCCAAAGGGAGGCAGGAGATGGACTCAGCATTTGTTCCTCCAGAAATAGAAAAAAGTCATTAAGCTTCAGACTTCTCCCAAAAGGAGTCTCATCTCCCTTCTCAGAGACCCAGGCTGCTCCAAGGTGCTTGTTCCAAAGAAATGTTGAAGTTGGTGTCATTCCTACTGTGAGAGATTGAGGTTGGGTGGGGGTGCAAGGGAGCAGAATGAACTCAGCACATTCATTTTTAATAAAAGCAATAATGCAGCCTGTCACTTTTTACTCTAATAAAATCATGTGGGATAGTCAATGGGATTAGAGAAAATGTAATAAATAGCAGAACGATTTGTGCTAAATTTAATTCCATATTTTGCTGGCTGTGGATATACCAGGGAGTGATGCCATTTGTCTTTTTCAGGGTTGAAAGGGAGGTGGGGGATGTGAAAGTGGAGGTTAGATAGGAGTGAGGGGATGAGTTTCTGGGGTGATAGAGACCAGCAGAGCCCTGGGAGACTCTGTTGACTGTCTTAGATCCATGCTATCCTCCCTGATTCTCTTTGCCCCATCACCATCCCCCTCACCAATATCACTATGCCCTCCTGCTCTGCTAGTCCAGCAGGGAAAAGAGAACGGAGAAACTTCTGCACTCCCCTTGTCTGCATCCAAGTGTGTCCTGGGGCAGGCAGGGGTAAGTGGTGTGTGCGGGGGAGATTCTGTTTCGGTTCTATTCTGGTTAGGTTGATGATCCAAAAACAAATGAAAGTTGAACTGAATTGAATTTATGCACTGTGTTCCCTCCAACATTTACCTCCTCCTCTATGGAAAGATTTCCCTTTCCTACAAGAATACCTTATCAGACCAATCAGTGCAATAGGGGAAATAAAGGAGAGAGAAGGAGGGGATTTATTCTCATGAAGATAGGACATGGCATTAGAAAAAAGTTATGTGCCATGTAGAAGAAGCCCCAAGCTCCCCAAAAGTATCTACCAATCTTAATGAAACTGGAACAAGCCATTCTTGTGGGGCATCCTGAAAAACTTAAGTTATTTTCAGGTTTTTTTTTTAGGTGAAAAAGAGATACCAATCTCATCCAAATAACGTCTCATCTAAGCAACGTCTTTCCAAATGGGGTCAACCACATTTAATAATCCCAGTATTTCTATAACATGCAAAGCACCCCCTTCCTTGAATTATAGCAGTTGCTAAAAAACCCCAAAAGCAACCATCTCCCCTCCCTTTCCCCCTCTTCCCCGCCTCCCACCCAATCAATGTTGGAAATCAATCTGAAAAGGAGAGACTAGAATCAGAGGGTGTTTCCTTCTGAAAGCTGTAGACCTGGAGTTATAGTAACGAGTGAATTCCTGGATTTGAGAACCCCTTAGGGATCTCATCCACATGTTGCCCTTTAACTCCCCACCCTCACTTCTTTTTTTATTTTTTATTTTTTTTTATTTTTAGGCAATTGGGGTTAAGTAACTTGCCCAGGGTCACACAGCTAGTAAGTGTCAAGTGTTTGGTCCGAGTTTGAACTCAGGTCCTAATGACTTCAGGGCAGATGCTCTGTTCACTGCGCCACCTAGCTGCCCCTCCCACCCTCACTTCTGACCCAGCATCTGCTTCTCACCTGTATTTCTTGAAGGAGAGTCCCATGTGCTGTTTCATTTGCTGCAGGCCATGGTAGTCAGTATAGATGAGGTCAAACGGCAAGGGCACTGTGAGTGGACAGCTTCCCCGGCCTGGCGGCACCCCTAAGTTACTGAGAAAGGAACCCTTCAGAACTTGGGCCAAGCAGGTACCCAAGAAAGGGCAACGCTATCACCCCAACAAAGTCTAGCTTATTAATCATAATAAAAAGAATAATTCTCCAGTTTGTTAAATGAGGTTTAACTTCATTCGAATAGTATTAAGTATCTAGTACATCCCAAGTACTGAACTAGATGATGGTAACATAAAGACAAAACCAAAACAGTTTCTCTCCCCAGGAAGCTTATACTCAACCAGGGAAAGGGTAAGGAGGGAGAACTCATATACAGAAAAGTAAATACAGAATGTATTCAAAGTAGATATAAGTTAATTTTAGAGGATACTAGTAACTGGGGAGAATTAGGATATTCTTCATTCCTGCACTTGAGCTGAGCTTTGAAACCATCTAGGCATTCTAAGAGGCAGAGATGAGGAGGGTGGGCATTCCAGACAAGGGAGACAGCCTGTGCAAATGTATGGAGTTGGGAAATGGGATGATATATATATATATATATATAAGGAACAGCAAGTAAGTAGACCAGTTTGATTACAGCGTGTGAAGGGGACTAATATATAGTGCCTGGAAAGGTAGACTGGAGCCAGATTGTAAAGGACTTTAAATGCCAAACACAGGAGCTTCTATTTGACCCATCTAGCTGAGTTGCTATGACCTGCAAGGAACCAACCCAGTTGAATAGCTGAGTGACTTGTCTACCATTGAAATAACTTCCCGTGGAAAACTTCATGGGGCTATTAATTGTTTATTAAGTTGAACTTAAGTTCAAGATTTTGAAGGCAAGAAAGTAAAACCAGAGCAGGTGTGATGGCCCAGTAAAAAAGGTAGAGACTAGACATTTCCTGAGGATAGAGAATAGGTTTAGGGAGATGGTACAAGCACAAGGAAAAGATGGAAAGGTCAGATAGAAGAATTTCAGTGTTCATAGGATCATAGATTTAGAGCTGAAAGGAGCCTTTGAAGCCCAGAGAGGTTGTCACTTGCCCAAGGTCACGCAGATAGTAAGTAGTGTGGAAGCATATTACAAGCCTCCTTTTTAGTTAACCTGGAAATATTAAGAAATTATGTTTCTCTAGTTAAAACAAAAACAAACCTTTCTAGATTTTCTTGTTTGAAAGTGGGGATAGGTTGAGGACAAAAAGATCTTTCATAAGGAAAGAAGTTAAGGGTATAGACCATCCTTTTAACAACTCTTGTTAAGAATATTGCCTTCCCCACTGCAGAAGTGATTGAGTTGGGGCAGCTAGGTGGCGCAGTGGATACAGCCTTAGCCCTGAAGTCAGGAGGACCAGAGTTCAAATCCCACCTCTAGACCAAACACTTAACACTTACTAGCTGTGTGACTCTGGGCAAGTCACTTAACCCCAATTGCCTAAAAAAAAAAGAAGAAGTGATTGAATTTATAGCCCCATCTAAGGGCCGGATCCTCTACTTCATCTCCTGAAGGTATTGGCCTTAGATACACTCAAGAGGAGTACCCTTGTTTATTATTCAGAAGAAATTTTTTTTTTGGATATTGATCTCTGGGAGAAGTGCTATGGATTCTTTAAGGGTAGTGGTCTAGGAAGGAGTGGGATGGTGATTTGTTGCTCAGCTATTCTGGAAAGTTAACCCCAAGGCTGTACTTTAACATATGATGAGCCTTTTCTTTTTCAAGATTCCTTTAAGTGTTACCTCAAATTGTCTTGTGGCAAAGAATCATGGATGAGGCATGGGAGAATATGCTAGTCTGGACATCTTTCTCTCTTTCTCCACCTCAGCTCCCCCTTCTCTGTCTCTGTCTCTTCTCTAAGCCAGGACTTTGATGACTCTGGAGGAGTGAGGCTGATGACTTCGTGCAGCTTTGCCTCGCTTTAAGTCCAATTCACTCACAAGTCAGTGCATCACCCTCCTGATATCATTGATCCTCTTTGAGAATGAAGAACAAACCACAACAAACCAGAAATGACTTAGCAAACTTGTGACTAAAATGCAGAGTGCAGTATTAATATTTTTTCTTTGACAGTAGTAGAATAAGGACCTCTAACTCCAAGTCCATCACTTTTTCCATTGTGCCATACTGTTGGCACGTTTGTGAATGATGACGATATCAAGAGTATGACTGTTCCTATGGGAAGGTGCCAATCATGAGAGGAAGAAAGAATTAGGAAGCTAAGGTAGCTGGGAGGATATCAACATGTAAATAGAAGTCCACAAGAAGAAGCTGAAGGGCACGGGTGGAAACTGAGTCAGGTACTAAACTTACATATCTGGACTGGGTTTTCTAAGTCAGAAACTGACTCTTATCAACCTGCCAATAACAGTGACCAGCAACCTGGTGAGGAAAGCAAATTCTCGAATGGACAGAAGGTTCACTTTAGCTCCTAGTTTCTTTCCTTTTTCCTCTTAACAAACATACTCAGGAAGCTAGAGCTCAGCTTACCACCATAGGAAGAGCTGCCTCAATCTGCAATCCTATGTGTACAAACTCAGTGGAGTCTGGGGCTATGTCCTTTGAGGTGAGATCACACAAATAAGAAGACACTCTCCCCCACTCCTCCCTCCTCCATTCACTTTATCCCAGTGCACAAATAGAATCACTTAGTGGGGAAGAAGATTCAGTACTTCTAATCTAGACTCACATTCTGGCTCCAGCCTATACTTCTAGAATTAATTAACGTCACTCCCCTTAATGACTCTGTATTTCAGCCAAACTGGCTTACTTGCTTCTTCTCTCTCTCTCTCTCTCTCTCTCTCAGCTGGGGTTAAAGTGACTTGCTTTGGGTCACACAGCTGGTAAGTGTCCCAGACCAAATTTTAACTCAGGTCCTTTTGACTCCAGGCCAGTGCTGTATCCACTGTGACATCTATCTGCCCTCCTCCCAACTGGCCTTTCAAAAGTCATTTGTTATTCCAACTTCTTCACCTTCTATATATTTTTCAACCCCTTACAAGTAGGCTTTGACTCCATCCTATCACTGAAACTTGTCTGTCCAAGGATATCAGTCTCCAATTACTTTGCCTGCAAATCACTTTTCTCTCTTCAAAAACATAGTTGCTGGTTATCAACAAGTATTATAAAGCACCTATATGTACCAGGCATTACACTAAGCACTAGGGATACAAAGAAAGGCAAAAACAGCCCATGCTCTCTAGGAGCTCAGTCTAATGGATGAGACAACTTGCAAACAACTATATACAAACAAGATATATAGAAGATAAATTGGAAATAATCTCAGAGGGAAGCAAGAGCATTAAGAGGGATCAGGAAAAGATTTCTTGCAGAGGGTGGGAATTTAGCTGACATAAGGAAGCCAGTGAAAATAGGAGGTGAAGATAAGGAGGGAAAGGAAAAGAATTCTAGGCACAGGGGACAGTCAGTGAAAGTTCATGAAGTAAGGAAATGGAGCATCTTGTTTGAGGCACAGCAAGGAGACCAATATTACTAGATCTTAGAGTTCATGGAGAGGAGACAAGTAGAAGACTGGAAACAGAAGAAGGGGCCAGATTGTAATGTTTCAAAACACAGAGTATTTCATATTTGATCCTGGAGGTAATAGGGAGCCATTGGGATTTTTTGAATAGAAGGATGATATGGTCAGACCTGCATTTTAGGAAGATGACTTTGGCATCTGAGAGGAAGATGGACTGGAATGGGAAGAGATTTGGGACAGAAAAACCAACCAGAAGGCTACTGCAATACACACACACACACACACACACACACACACACACACACACACACACAAGAGAGATGTTATGAAGCTAAACTTGAGAGGAATTGGCAACAGAATTGAGGATGACATGTAGATTGTGAGCCTGAGTGATTGGGAAGATGGTGGTAATATCCTATGGAACATAATAGGGAGAGTAGGAAGAGAGGAAAGTTTGCAGGGGAAAGACTAAGTTCAGTTTTAGACATGTGGAGTTTAAGATGTCTATGGGACATCTAGTTGAGATGTCTAACAGTCAGTCTATAGTCAGTTGGAGATATGAGTCAGGAGAGAAGTTAAGGCTGGATAAATAGATCTTCATAGAGATGATAATTGAATCCATGGGAGCTGATGAGCTCACAAAGTGAAGTAGTATGGAGGAAGAGGGCAGCTAGGTGGCACAGTAGATAGAGCAATGGGCTTGGAATCAGGAAGACATCTTTGTGAGTTCAGATCGGGCCTCAGACATTTACTCGCTGTGTGACCCTAAGCAAGTCATTTAATCCTGTTTGCCTCATTTTCTCATTTGTAAAATGAGCTGGAGAAGGAAATGGCAAACCACTCCAGTGTCTTTGTCAAGAAAACCCCAAATAGGGTCATGAGGAGTCGGAGATGACTGAACAACAACAACAACAATAAAAACCCCAAATAGGGTCATGAGGAGTCGGAGATGACTGAACAACAACAACAACAATGTGGAAGAAGGAGAGTGCCCTAGAAAGAACCCTGGGGGACTCCCATGGTTAATGGACAAGGCCTGGATAACGATCCAGCTGGGAAGACTAAGGAGTGTTCAGACAGGTAGGAGGAGAAGCAGAGGAGACTAGTGTAAAAAAAAAAAACTGAACACAAAACCAAACCCTAATAATCTAGAGAGAAGCCAGAATTAAGGAGAAGAGGATCATGGTCAGTGTCAAAGGCTACAGGAGGGCAACTAGGTGATGCAAAGAATAAAGCACCAGCCCTAGAGTCAGGAGGACCTGAATTCAATTCTGGCCTCAGACGCTTCCTAGCTGTGTGACCCTGGGCAAGTCATTTAACCCCATTGCCTTAACAACAACAAAAAGGGGCTATAGAGGGATCAGGAGGACTGAGAACATTAAACAATGGCATTTTGTCAATCCTCATCCTTCTTGACCTTTTGCCTCTTTTAACACAGTTGATCACCCCCATTTTTTGCATACTCTCTCCTCCCTTCACTTTTGTGAAACTATGTTCTCTTAGGTCGTTTCAGAAATCTCTTAGCTGTCTGACCAGTCCTTCTGTCTCCTTTGTTAGATCATCCTCTACATTATTCTCCTTTAA